TCAATATAGTTCTGGAAACATTAGCCACAGCAATTAGACAAGAGAAAGAAATTAAAGCAATAAAGATAGGAAAGGAAGAAGTTAAACTGTCATTATTTGCTGATGATATGATACTCTACATTGAAGACCCAAAAAACTCCACCAAAAGACTTCTAGACTTAATTGACAGATTCAGTAGAGTATCTGGATACAAGGTGAACACCCAAAAATCAATAGCCTTCTTATACGTAAATTCTTTTTTTTCTAGGTGAATGGTCTAAAAGATTGTGCAGCCTGTAAAACTAGTTGAATATAGTGAGAATCCAACTCAAGAGTCCTGCAAAAACTGGACTGAGGAAACCCCCACATGCCTCATGCTCATTTCAACCAGCATACCAAACAACTAAGATCAAAGGAAACAGTTCAATCTGCATGAAAAAAACACAAAGCCTAGGGCAGTGGCGGCAAACCTAAGGCATGGGTGTTGCTGCCAGCTGTCTGTTACCACTGAAAGCTGTAACAGGTTCACCATTACTGACCTAGGGGAAAGGACAGCAAAAAGAAAAATGACCTCACGTAGAGTTCTGGCTTTGCCACAGAATGGCGACACAATGCCAAGCCCTCGTATCCGCCACTGGCTTTACTTTGTATCAGCTGTCCTATAGCAATGAAAATAAATTACAATAAAACTATGAAGCTTTTGGAAAATCACACATGTACGGTAGTATACACAATAAAATATAAATCTTATGACACAATTAAAAAACAGAAAAAAACCAGAATTATGTATAATAATATAATCACAGAATTTCACAGAGTTAATTCACAACTTTAATTCTATGAGATATTTATAAATGTTCCCCAGAAAGAGTCCCTTGGCCAACCAAGGATAGGAAATACAAGGTTTAATTTTTCCAGTATTCATTCTGACACTGTCAGTAGCTAACACTAATATGTCACGGGGCTAAACTTTCTGTGGATCATCTCATCTAACCTCATAATAACCTCACAAGACAGATAATATTACTATCCCTATTTACAGATGGCAAAACTGAGGCGAGAGACATTATATAACTTGCCCATGGTCACACAACTAGCTAGGGCAGACAGATGCAGGATTCAAATCCAGGGGCCTAGATTTAATCAAAACACATCATGCTTCTACTTTCTTGAAGTTTTGAAATGTACTGTGAATCTCTCAGGGAGAAATAAAACGTGTCTTTCTTGATTTTTTTTTTTTAATGAATTTGTAGCAATTTGGAAAATGGAATAATCATCAAAACGCATCCATTTCTTTTTCCCAAACTTTCCTTCTTCCTAGACTCGAGTTATACGTTAATCTAAGATATTGCTTTTATGTAGATTTGAGAAGTCTGAGAGATTTCTTTTATGTACATTTATATTTCTTTAGCATACAAATCAGTAATTGAAGATATACTAATTTAAAATCACAATCACTTCTCGGCCCTGTTGGCTAAGATCAAGTATAAAATCACCTGCTTAGGTCTGCATGAGAGAGAGCACAGCAGTTTAGGAGGGGACAGTATGCAGAGAGTCCACATTATCATTAGGATTAAATGTCTGGGGCCAAAACTTCATATTGTGTAACTGTGGAAAACATCTAGATTCACATAATGAGAATTTACCAACTATTAAATAATATATATTGCAATTACACAGGATAGCATATGCCTTCCAATGTCCCATCGAGTGGAGTAAGATTGAAATATTAAAGTTTTGCTTTACACTTATTAGCTTTATTACATTTTATAAGAAAAAATTAAATAAGCCCATTAGGCAGTTTTGTTACCAACGAGTGGATTTTCCAATATTTCCTTCATCTAGTTTATGTAGCATAGCCTCTAATGTAATCATTTTTGTTTGAAAAACCACAATTTTTATAGTCAACACCATTAAGGTAAACTTAGTGTAGGATAAACCCAATCATAACACATCAAACAGTGTTTTATAAAGACTTTAGAAAAGTGGATTTTCACTTTTTGATGATTATACCATTTCTTTGTGCTGAACTAAAAGCCAGAGATAAAAGAACAACACTGTAAACTGAAGCCCAGGCAGAAATGAAGCCTAGTGATCGATGACGAGAGGTTATGTATCTTGCAATACTCGCATTTGTTCTCCTTAAGAATTAGGTACAAGGTGAGTGCTGCACCCTTGAACTCTCGAGGTCAACGGAAGAGGATCACTTAGGCTCAGGAGTTCAAAGTCAATGTAGGCAACACAGTGAGACCCCATTTCAAAACAAAAACAGTATTATACAGGCCACTGAACAAAGGGAATTTTTTTTTATGAGAACTCTACTATACAAATAAAGTACTAAAATTATCATGATGCTGCTTTTTACCTTCCCTAGGCAACCACTGTCCAAAACATATCCATCTTATAACACACTGAGCACTGGAAATGGGAGCTAAATGAACTCAGTGTAAATTGCTGATATCATTTTAAAGACCACGTTCTAAGAACAGGTGGGAGAATGATTCCCTTCTGGTCCTATGAAAAAAGTTTCAGCCATGCTTCTTAGCTAAAAACAAAATAAAAAAAGAAAAATGTGGAGTTATAGTTTAATGGGCACAGAGTTACACAAAAGACAGTTCTAGAGATAAATGATGTTGATAGTTGAGTAATGTGAATGTATTTAAAGCCATCAAACATTTCAAAATGGTTAAGATGTTAAACTGTATTTAACGTATATCTTACCACAATTAAAAATAATTTTAAAGTCAGGTATGGTGGCAAATGACTGTAATCCCAACACTTTGGAGAGGCTGAGGCAGGAGGATCACTGGAAGTTTCAGGGAAGACTGGTTCCATACATATATATATGTATATATACATACATATACATACACACACAAAAACAATATATAACTTTACATTGTAGTTTTTCCTTGGGAAATGGGCATGTTATTCCACTTCTCCTTATACTATCCCTTTTAAATTCACCTATGTTTTAACTGGATAAAGGCTGAAAATTTTAACATCTATGCTGGTCATGTAGCACAGTGGTAGAGCACATATTTAGCATGAGTAAGGGTGAGGATTTCATCCTCAGCACAAAAAGCAACAAAAAATTTAATATCTAGATTATGTCTAATAAAAATTATCTGCTAGGGCTTGGGTAGTCTTATGTTCCTTCCCCTCTGGGATAAGTCAGGACAGTAAATTCACAATAGGCCTTCTATTAAGAAATACAAAGCTATGCCTGCCTCGCAAGCGCAAGGTCCCGAGTTCGATTCCCAGTACCAGGAAAAAAAGAAAAAAGAAAGAAATACAAAGTTAAACATTTGGTGAAATAACACATGAAGTTAGGAGTCTCAAGAAATGTTTTTGGATTCCATTTGAAGCCAATAAAAGGAATTCAAAGAGCTGCCAGAAATCCTTCCTGTTTTATTGCATTTGTCTGCTAGCAATGAAGCAGTCAGAAAACAGGCTGAAGCCTCGAAAATGGCTTCTTTCAGGGAACCTGGAAGGAGCAAATTGGAGCACACATGTTCTTTCTTATTTGCTTTCTAGGAACCTTCAGAACAAGGTAAAAAAATTCAAGTCAGCAGTAAGGAGGTGAATGGGAGGAAAAGCTTCCTGGAAGGGACCACTAGTACAGACTCAGAACTTGGGACATGTTAGGCCTTCACCACTCAAGAAGAGTATAAAATATTTCCCTGAACTCTCAAAGTAGGACTTAACTTCCAAGCTATGACTTAACTTCATGACCCTCAGTAGATACAGGGGAAAAAATTCCAAAGATGTGAACATGAGTTCTTTTTTTACTAGGAATTGAACTCAGGACCTGACATTGGCAAGGCAGGGGTGGTGCCACAGAGCTAAATCTGCAGCCCTGAACCTGAGTTCTTAAAGGGATATTTTTAGGAGCAAGGACTCATACCCTAGCTGAGGAGCCTGAAGCTCTGGATGGGTGGCCATGCCAGTTGACTATGAAGGAGCTTTCAGCCTCAAGAAACTAGTTTCTATGCTGAGGCTACACGGATAGTGGAAGGGTGTTCTGGGATTTTAGGATACGGCCCTTCATGGCCATAGGACAACAGGGCAATTTCTATCCATATTCATCAGAACTTAAAATTCTAAGAACATGAATAACCAATTAAAAACTAAATTAATCATTTTACAACTCTGAAATTATAGATTAATATCAATGTTAAAACATCTAAGATAAAAAATAAAATCATAATAGGATGCAGGGTTAGTGTATATATGGAAAACAGCTCTCTGGAGGAAAGCTTTATTACTCCCTCAGGGCTTTCTTACAGAGTATGGATTTTTTAATTCCTGGTGGAATATTTTTCATACACCATTGCAGACTATTAAGTACCAGATATTACATTATGTAGTTTAAACTTTGTACTACTGCGTGAGAAAGACTTCCCTGTTGAGAGAACTATTTTTTATGGTTAGCATTTTTTAATATGAAAATGAACTCTCCTTTAGGGTAAGATCACTGCAACTGGAATTTGGGAGACTTTTATAACTTAACATATTCATCAATGTGTGTAGAAATTCTCTCAAGGGAGTAGGGTGAGGAAAAAAAGAAATACAACAGGAAGAAGGCTTTTTAATAACTTACAGCATCAACACAGGGCAAAGCAATGGTATTTATAAGGCATGGCTTCCACTGGGCATACCTGTCAATGGGCAAGGGACCAGCAAAGGGTGCTAGCAAGTTAAAAAAAAAATAATGGTGTGAAAGAGCAAAGGAAAATATACATTAAATTTCAGGCCAGTTAAATGTACACTTGCTAATGGTGGATGATTAACTGCTCGCCTAGGAGAGATGAAGACTTGGAAATATTAAAAAGGCAATATAAATGCACTTTTCAGGCAATTCCTGAGAAAATAGAAGACATCCTGCAGAATCCTGGAGTCAAACGTGGAAATAAATTCTGAGTGCTGGTGGTCACATAAAAAATCTTTGCCACAGAGTCCGTGGATCCCCAGCACTGGGCAAAAGTGGATAGAAAGTTTAAACAAAATTGACTACTCACTTGTAGACTGTGCCTCCATTGCCATGACCAAGGGTGTCTTGATATCGTATGTCTTGTTCATTCATCTCCACAAGAAAGAAAGAAAAACAAAAAGGGTGTCATGCTGTGGATGGAAATGTCAAGGAAAAGCAACTCTGGGCCATAAACAACAAGCAGTCTGGGTCATTTCAAGTTCAGCTGCAAGAACGAGAAGATCAATACAACATTTGCTGTCCAATTTATAAAAGACGATACCAAGGGACAAAGTGATGGAAAGTTTAATGACAATTTGTTTGCCTGGGTCATTTCATTAAAGTTTGATAAAAGGTGTCAAAATGGAATGATATAACATAGCTCAAAAGGGTCAGGTCAGAGATACTGATAAGAAAACAGTCTCTGGCACCGCACATAACCAGGACCGAAGAGCACTGCACATGAGCAAAGTCAAGTTTGGGAAGACGACAAACACACACAGACAGCAGCCAGGAATCTAATCCATGGTCTGTAACACATCAGCCCTTGGAAATGCCTCAGATGACCCGATAATTAACATTTAGAATAATGTTTATCATTTTCTAAGGAGAGAAAGGATTTGTCTTTGCAAATGGTAAATTAGTATACAGCCGTGAACTGTGCAGAAATCATAGTATTCTGATGTAAAAGTGCCAGACAAATGCACTTCAAAATGCACATGTAGTCAAGCATTATCATACAGAAAGGGAAAACTACACACAGACGTAATTTTTATGAACTGAAGTCATTTTTATAATTAATATATAAAACAGCATGCACATTTTCTAAGATTCTATAAAATCTATTATACCAAAAATACTACCCTCATTTTTATCACGACTGCATGGTGAATTGTTAGCACCTACAAAATAATGTTTTAGATTTTTTTTAGGGGACTCTCTAAATAATAATTTATCAAATGACTTTAAGACTAGTCCTACTCTATATGATGCATTCAGTAATTTTTTATGCACTGGTTCAGTTGCTTAAAAATTAACTGCCAACTTTATTCACTAAATAGATTTAATAAAGGTCTTATTTTCCATATAGTAAAGGCTTGGGAAAAGCCATAGTAAGCCCTGAAAAAAAAAAATCAATTTCCAGGGAATTGCACTGCCTTGCATGGGCAGAAAATAGATGGAGTTTTTAATTCAATATCACTTGGAAAAAAATAGTTTGCTCTCAGACCATTATAGTAAAGCTTTAAATATTTGCTCTACTCTAAACTTCCACCAATTGAATAAAGCCAGGCTTCATTTATCAAGGAAAATATTTTTCTTCTATACATTTCTGAAGTTGAAGCTTCAGAGAACTGTGATAATTAGGAGTACAGTGCAGGTACCAGAAATAGCTTCCTTTCCAAGCCGTTTGCCAGTCCCTTTAAAAGAGTATCGACAGATTAATGCAGAAAGGCCAACTCAGCACCCAATTTAATTGTAGTACAGTCTGATTGATGCAATTTACAATCAGCTAATTACTATATTTAAGATCAGTGAAAAAATGACAGAAAAATGGGGAACTACTTTCATATTTGATAGAAATTCTATTCTTCACTACTTTTACACCACTAATCCAGGAAAGAAAAAAAAAGCAAAACCTTTTAACCTGTATAAAAGACGTGGCATGAAGAAAAGAAGACCACATTATTCGGGACCGAATGATAAATTTCCAAACAGCATGCAGAAAGGCAGCATATGAAGTGACTGGCGATACTACACTAGCAGAGTTGTTATTTAGTTTACTTTGACTGATGATGGATGCCTGAAGAGCTCTGTCTATTGGTGAGTGCAAAGAGGCTACTGGGCCAATTCCCCAATTCTCTAAGCAGTGTCAACATGGCTCCAACAACCTAATCTGTAGCATTAACTTGCCTAACAAGCTGCAGTCTCATTATGGCTTGAAGTAGATTTCCAGGAGAGAGAAATTTCATTTAGTCAAGCCTACAAATTCTGAATTAGTAGCACTGAGACATAAGGCTAAGCAGGATGTAGGTATACAGTACGCAGGGGCCAGGCTCTGGAAGGGCCAGTTTATGGTCATGTCCTCCCCACCATTTCACAGGCCTGGGGACAGATACAGATGTGAGTGGCACCTGTACCCATAATAATCCAGGAGGGTAGGCATTCAACATCAGAGAGGGGGTGTGTGTGTGTGTGTGTGTGTGTGTGTGTGTGTGTGTGTCGGAGGACAAATGTTTATTGCATGTGCAAGCACATATGTGCTAAACACTGCACAGGCTAACTCAAGAATACAAAAACAAATCAATGCAGAACTATGGAATTCCACACATAAGGAAAATTCTAAGAGTCACCTAAAGATAAAAATAGTTTTGAAGAGAAAGTTCTAGAACCATGTCACTTTAAAAGACAGTATCTATTTTTAAAAAATGAGGAAAGGGTCTACTACAAAACAGTAACTTTTTTCCTTTTTTGCTTATCTCAATTTTCTAATTTTTATACATTTATATACATTTCTCATGTTTTAGAAAAAAGTATTTGATGGAATGATAAGGTCTTTCTCTGTTTTGTAGGCTGGTCTTGAACTTCTGGGCTCAAGTGATCCTCCTGCCTTGGCCTTTCAAATGCTGGGCCTACAGGCATGCACTACTGCACTTAAGATAAAAAAGTATTTTTAAGCAAAAACTAAGAGCTCAGGAATCGATTACCAAAGAAACAGTTGAAATATTCATATTCTATCAAAATGGGCTACTTTAACTGATCTTAGCTATGAAAAAAATCACTAAAGGAATTCAAAGATAGCTAGTAATATTTTTGCCTTTTTTAGCTGAAGAGCATGAACGCATAGGAACTGTACTTACTATGAAATTAAGGTAGGGTTTATAAGTCTGCAAAGGACTACATTAAAATGTTATAGGTGGGATCAAGTATCAAAAAATTGTCTGTCATCAGCATTTTATGACCACTAGCCCAACCTAGTTGGTTATATAACTAATCATAACAACTAGCTGGGACTAGAACTCAACCAGGCGTGGTGGTGCACGCCTATAATCCCAGCACTTGGGAGGCTAAAGCAGAACTGCCAGGAGTTCGAGGCCAGCCTGGGCTACACAGTGAGTTTAAGGTAAGCCTGAATCACACAGCAAAAAACCAAAAGTGGGGGGAAATAGATACTAGAACTCAGTCCTTTGGCACATCCCAGTTCAAGGTGACCTATCACCCCTCTCCTTCCAGAGCTATGGCCCTCATGAAGGCAGTCTGTCTCCTGGAAGGCACTCACAAGTAAAAGCTGTGCTATGATGTTTGTTTTTAAGAACAGAAATGTCTTAAAAAACACATAGCCTTTTATATTGAAAAGAAGTAAAATAAAAGTTTTTTATTTAATGAAGATGCTGAAGAGTATTTAAATATAGTTTAGCTTTCTTGTTTTAACTAAAAAAAAAAGAAAAAAAGCAATCAAAAAGCAGAATAGTACATGCAAGGGTGGAGGAAGAAAAAGTCACAACCACTGCAACCGCTACCTGTCAGCAGCCAAGACAGCAAATGACCTGGGAGAAATGACTTGTGGGGTCTCTGCTTCTGCTCAAGGAGCAGCAGGGACCAAGACAGAAATGAGACAGCAGTCACCCACAGGCGGTCAGATTGAGTTTGTGTGGGTAGAGGAGGGCACTGTGTAGTTGTGAGTTACATACACAGTCTTTTTGTTTCAGTCATCTTATGAGATCTAAAATGAACCATTAAAATCTAAAAATATTATATACTGGTGTTGATTTTTTAAGGCTAATTTTATAGCAGATACCTACAGTAGCACCTCAGTTCACAAATTTGATTCTCTCCATAATACTAGTTGCTAACCCAGTTGGACAAGAACCGAGTCAGATACAATGAGTAGGTTCAATGTTGATCTTTTGGGGAAATTTGATTTGGTTCTTGTCCTATTTGGTTTGTGACCAGAATTGTGCAGAGAATTGAGTTCATGAATCAAGGTACCACTGTATTCTCTTATTCCTCAGCCCTTTTGATCTAAATTCAGAGTTTTTCCAAAGGTATTTCAACTCTTCAAAATAACAGCCAAAGATGCAGCAGCACCAGAATTAGATCTAGATCTGTGACTTTACAGTATAGTTACACTTAATTTACCAGGTCTAGGAAATACTGTCATCCCCTACTACAAAATATAAAAAACAAAAAGAGGAAAAATACCTTTAGAGATATAAAAGTCAGAGTTACACATCCTTGGAATATCTGTGTACTTTTTAAATCCTTAAATCGACCCTTTGGGCTATTTCTAACCAGTTTCAAACCCGGGGCCAATGTTAGGCAGACAATGCCACATTGGACCTGAGTGGGGAAAACATACCCAGAAAACAGAGCAGTGAGACTGATTTATGGCTCTCAATAAAACATGCCAAAAATATCTTTTGATCTATTTTTTTAAGATGGAGAAATGGAATCCTCCATCAGGAGGTGAAACCAGGAAAACAGTCTCCATTCCAACTGCTAATGTTAAAACTTTTAAAGCAGTGCTTGATCAAATTATTAATGAGATTAATGAGAAAAAGGAAGCGGAATTCAATCATGGATCAGCAAAGAAAATGTTCCTTGTTTACTGTGTGCTTGTGTTAAGAAGAATCAGTACCTACTGTTTATAAATCATTAAAGTAAAAATGCTCAATTAGTCCTTATTTTATATGTAAGGGTCTGATACGAACTAGTGCTATCACTAGACCCTTGCTTCACAAATCGAAGCAATGATGGTTTCAGAAAGCAGTCACACTCTATGAGCAGACAATTGGAGAGATTTAGTAAATCCCACTTTATAGAGCAGAGACTAATCGGAAAACACAAGCCAGTCAAATGTTTCTTATGAACTGTTGACACTATATCAATGCTGAATCAATTGGTGGCATTTACTCTGAGTGACAGAAAAGAAATAAATATTTATATCACATAACCTATATCAATGAACCCAGGCAGAAAGCTATTTCTAACCTGTCAATATTTGATTATCTTGAAGAATCATGTCCCTTTCTTTTAATGATTAATATGAATTCCTTATTAAATCTAAGTGGAGGCTAGTGGAAAGGCAAATCATTATTAATGCTTGAGAGCATAAACCACTAAAATAAAAAACTATGCTCAAGTGTTAAAGTATCGTTAAATGTGACTTACATCTTCCGTATCAAGTGGTGTCAGTATGCAGACCAGGAATGTACTGATGCCCACACCACATGCATTACCTCACTGCGGTGCGGTCTGGCCCGCTGTTTACAGTTACTCTACAGCATCAATTGAGGAGTTCAGGGGAGGTATTTTGAAAGCTTCCAAAGATGGAGGATTTGTTTTGTTTTTTGAGCAAAAGTAAATAACAATAATAATGATTTTTAAAAAGCTTATCCTCTAAAGTGAGAAAATGCCATACTGTTTAATGTCGGGTTAGCACAATCCAAGGGAAAGCAATAAACAATCTTTAAGTGTCAAAAATCATTGCTGTGACAATCTCCCACCACAGAGAACCTCGTAACTGAGACCACTGAGATATTTATGGTACTAGGTTTGTTGTCAAAACATCTCAGAATGCTTTTTTTTTTTTTGCAGAGGAAAGAAAATGTTTTTCATTTTTGAAAGAAGAATCTAAGACAGATTTTCCATTGCCTGGGTTGAACAAATGTAGTTAAAGCTTCTTAATTTATGTCAATTTTGAAATATATTTTCCAGCCAAAGAACACAAGTGACTTATACGTAAATTACAATTAGTAACTAGAATGCAAGTGTGCTGGAGATACATAAATATCCCCAGCTCGATATTTCTGCTTTTAGTCAGGTTTTGCTTCATCTGTGTGCTCACACTGCAGGCACTGGGGGATACAGATGTGGACCTCAATCTCAACAGATATTTGGCTGCTTAAAGATAATGGTGTTAGACAAATACTATCAAGAATCTGGGTGCTGTAGGTGTGGCTCAGTGGCAGAGCACGTGCCCAGAATGCATGAGGTCCTGGGTTCAATCCCATGCACTACCAAAAAAAAAAAAAGGAAGACCTAAATTTTGAGACTACCAAGGTTATACACGTAACACCAGGTTCTCTCTGTATGCAGATTATTTAAGGACTAGAATTCACACACACTGGATGACAATCAGCTGTCAGAGCCAGATCGACTTAATTTTCTCTAACTGGATTCACAGGACTGCATGCTACGCAAGCAGGCATAGAGGTGCGACCACACAGCCACCGCTTCAAGGCATGCACATCTATTAGGCCACAATGTTACAGGTGATATTAAAGGACAAGCACGAGGACCCAGCTTTGTCTTCTTGACATGCTCCACTACAAGTACTTGATTCATGAAATGCCAATGAGGCTTGGAGAGGTCAGCGTGTGAAGGCACTGAATAAGCATCTGAGATAATTAAGATTTCAGCCTTCGAAACATGGACGGGAAGTGAACAGCAGTTAAGAAAATCAATAAGAGTCTTTTATTTGCAGTGACACAGATGTCTCAGTCAATAGAGCCTAATAGGCAGGCTTGATCGCGATGGACAGGCGCCTGCCTTGGAGGCTATCAAAGGGCTTCCACTATAACAAACATTAAAACGCATTTATGTTGCTCGTGAAGAATTGAGGACCCTGTAGGTAGCTTAATTTACCAGTGTTATGTTTAAAAGCACTATACTATTTCAGATGTGGCCATTTACCTGAATCAAAATTAGTGAGAAATAACTGGCCTGCAGGCCTCTTTGTCCCTCACCGGCCGGGTTAGGTCATTTGGCTTCAGACAGCCCGCTGACCAGGCAAACCAAGGTCTCTGGTACCCCAGGGACTTTACGTGCCAAATGTCTACTGTTCCCGGGTCCCCTACAAAACCAGTATTAGTTTCAGGACAAAAGAAAGAGCTAAGGTAAGAAGGTAACAGTTTTTCCTTTTCTCTCCAAAGATAATGAAACAAACAGTTGCCTCAGAATGCAGGGCCATTTCAACAACCCATGGGTTGACACACTTGTTCAGAACTGATTAACTTTTTAGATGGAGATGGCAGCGGGTGTGTGTATGGTCCTTCAATCTGCTGGGAGTGAAACCCATTAGCACAGTTTGAAAAACAGGCTGCAAATTGTTCTGCCAATCAAATTAAGTCATGTTACTCATTTATGACAAGAAGAAATTCACAGACTCTTTTACTGTTTAATAAGTTTATGGATAAAAACTGGACAATAATAAGTTACTATTATTTGAAAATCTTAATAGGCAGCAGTACCTACCTGGCCATTGGCTAATATTTTTTTCAGTTCAGCAGAGGACTTTTTTAAGCTGAAAAGGAAACACATAATTTTAAGTAGCAGCAACATGACAAACACCACACTAAAAATATACTTTTGTTTTTAGGTGCAGGCATGCACTATACTCCTCTCTGCATAAGATATTTTTCCAAAATAACTGGCTGAACACCAAAGATATCAATGAAGTGACTGAAACCCCATAGTACGCTACAGTAATAAGCCTACAGTCAAGAGGAAGCTACAGTACTTTATGGACCACTACAGTGACATTTTGGCCATTAGTCCTGCTGCCTCTGGGTAGCCCTTCAGTGGTAATTCTATGGGGACACAATCATTTGCTAAACACAACGTATTTAACAATGCACTCTCAGAATGTTCACAGAGATTAGAGAACCACAAAGATAAAACAGATGGCTTAGGTCCTGTTTTTTTTTGTTGTTGTTGTTGTTGTTTTTTTACTACAATTAAGAGTTACAATTCAATTTCCTGGAAAGTACATGGATTGTAGAAATAAATCCTGGTTCTCAACAGTTGTGTGATCTGGATCAAGTTACTAATTCTCTCTAAACTCCAATTTCATTTTTCTACAAAATGAGGAAAATATTAACTTTACAGTGTAAGCAGGAAAATTAAATATTGTAAAATAGCACCATGTCTTACAGCTCTCCGTGTTACGAGGGGACTGAAAATGTTCTCTGGACATATGCGGCTATGTGCTATTGTCTGGCTCTTGAGGGTTCCCCCAAAGCCCACGTGGTGAAGGCTCAGTGATCCAGAATGGCATTACTGTAAAGCTGTGGAGACTTTAAGAGATAAGGCCTGGTGGGAGATATTTGGTCACTGTGGGCACACTCTCAGTGGGGACTGTGGGACACTGGTGCCTCTTTTTGCTTCCCTGCAAACAGGAAGTGAACATCTTCCTCCACCACATGCCCCTACCACCACAGGCTGTCTTGCCATATACGCCAAGGCTTTATGGAGCCAAATGACCATGGACTGAATCCTGTACAACTGTAAGCCAACATAAGCCTTCTCAGATATTTGCTTCAGTAACTGAAAGCTAATGTACTATACAAAAATCTATGTGGATGAATTTAGTGAAAGACCTTCTTAAGAAAGAGAGGTGGACAAAAGCCGTCCCGAAATCCTTCTAGCTTTGTATGAGTTATGCCAGCATACACTCAGATAGTGCAAAGGGTATGAAGTAGCACCTGCCCTCACCTATGTTCTGGTTGACACGTGAAGCTTGTTAACTTTTTTCTTAACCTATCCACACCTTCTACCTATCTATCTCACTAACTCTCTCCCTCGTGTTAGTTACTAGTATAGATGTCTTTCTCTCCACCATATCTTTCCCTAAGACTGGGGCTTCCTGAGAAGATAGACCACATCTCATTCTACATATTCCTATTCCAGCCACTCCCACCCTTAAACCCTGCCAGGGACTTAGCACATATTGAGTGTTCAACAGAAGTGTGATACAAAAATACAGTGAATGCTTAAATTTAAAAATTTATTACAGTAAAAGATTCACTGCTGTTAATCTTCCTTAAAATACCTCCCCTTCCAACATACTTGGTCCATGATTCTTGCCACTTTCTGAAGCAGTTTACAATTGTGGCAATTTCTGTCAAACAAAAATATTACAGTGAGCCCTCGTCCACCTTATTCACCAGATCTGGCATCATCCAACTTCTGGCTCTTCCCCAAAGTCAAAATAACCACACACATATACACACACGCACTCACACACACACACACTGAACACAAAAGGTAAATACTCTTGAGTTGATTTAGGACATCAAGGCAGCCATGACAGCACAACTAAAGAAATTCATGGAAGACTTCCAGAACTGCCTCAGAAAGTGCCAACAATGATGTGATTAGTGTGTCTGGTGAGAGGGGAGTATTTTGAGAGGGATTAATGGCAATGTATCTTTTACTGTAATTAAGTTTTCACTCTATTTTTTGATCATTCTATTAAATGGCAGTCACTGGTCTGATTGTTATTATATTGCAGCAGTTGTCACAGTTATAGAATAAGACACAATGATCATGAAAACATCAGAAAGAAAAAGGTCTCAGGACCTCGTATGAAACATATATACATTCCATTTAGCACTTCTAATACATTACATCGGAGAAAATCTCAGAATTCTCAAACTCTGAGACTATACTTTCACTCAAAGCTGTAATTATTCCTTTCTAAATGCTTTTTAAACTTCTGCATAATCTAGTCCAAACAGACTGTGGAAGGTGTTTCTACTTTTCTAGGTTTTATAAGATATGACCTCACCTAAGGGTGACAGACTTTAATAAATTATGTCCTCCAAGTGTAAGACTCTATGCACTAAACTGGCAGTTAAGAGTACTACAGAATGGGGCTTTAGCAGAAACATACACCCAAAAAACAATAACCTAAAATCAGTCCAGGCAACAAAATAATAACAAATACAATTTACTGAGTGATGACAAGTGCTAGGCATTGTGTTAAATACTATTATTACCCAAATTGAATCCTCATAATAATTACACTTCTTAGATATAGTTATTATGTCTAATTTATAGAGTAAACTAAAGTATAGACCTTTCTCAAAGTCTATCTCTTACATAACACAGCTTTTTTCCTGGGAAATATTTAAATCCTGGTATTCCTATAAATGACTCCCAATTTGATAGTTCCAATTATTGTAAAGACACAACCAAACAAAGTATAGGTAGGCATTGTTTCTCCACAGACATTCCATTATATCATAAACCTGAAATAATAACATTTTGATTCATGACATTTATAAACGCCTTTCATCCAAGAAACAAAATGTGATTCCTTAACACAGCTTCATCAATCTTACTAACACCAGAGGTATATAGATGGAAAGTTTAATCATCCCAATTTTACAGGAGAAAGCAAAGCTGTGTAGGAAAGGACTTGCCTTGGCAGTGGGACGTGAATTCAGTAATTATGGCCTAGGAACACCACGTAGATTAGTTAGCTCAGTTTAATAAATAGTCACTCACCTAAGGCAAAGAGAGGAACAATTCATGCTCTGATAGTAACAGAAGAAAACTGATTTCATTCATTATGCCAGTATGTGGCTACCACCTTAATCTGATTTTTTTAATTTATTGATTTTTTAAAATCTGATTTTTTTTTTTAGAAAAATAATTTTGTAGAGTTGGTGGTGTGGCTCAGTGATAAGTGTCTGCATGGTTAGTTAGCATGTGTGAGGCCCCAGGTTCAATCCCTAGCACCAAAAAACATAACAAACAAAAAACAAAGCCCAAAACATCCCATCATTTCGTATCCTAGAAATTTCTCTATGACTCAGTTTACTTAATATTTAATTTATCTGTCTGGTCACAGTGACCTGAACTATCAAGAAATCACTTTTGAAAACATTTTAACATTTCAATGTCACACAGTTGTAAGCTGGGTGTGACACGTGAGAAGTACTGAGGTAACAAAAGCTGAACGAGTTGGGACCAGTCAATCCAGAGATGAGACTTAGAGTGGAGGCACAGTACAGACCATTCGTTCATTCATTCGCCTATCTCCTACGTGCCACGCATCACGGCAAGAACTGAGTCTTCGACAGTTAACACGCTGTCATCACTGCTCTCAAAGAGCAGAAGCTACTGGGGAACAGAGGCGATCATCTAAATGTGCTCACCGCTACCCTAAACAGAAGCACGGGGCGCGTTATAGGAATTCATAGAACAGCTAAATGGTGCAGACGAGGAGCGGCTATAATCAGGGACAACTTTCGAAAGAAGCTAACTCGGTCCACAAAGATGACCAAGTTAGGCAGATTGAAGGTGAAGGCACAGATATGAAAAGGGCACAGACAGCAAAGAGGCAACAGATGAGAGGCCCAGCAGTGTGAGGATCTGGTCAGAACACCCAACGTGAGAGGCTACAGCTCACTGCCTGCGGGGTTTCCTTCACCTTGGGGCATGAAGAGCAGGGATGGGCTTTCACAGCGGACGATGGCTCACCAGGGTGTCACTGCTATGGTTGGTCTCCTGCAGGTCTGGGCAAGGGGGTGGACCTTGAAAAGGTGGGGCCCAGTGGGAGGCCTTGGATCCAGTGGGGCTGCGCTCTCCAGAAGGACTGATCACTTGCTCCTGCATGTGTTCCCAGAACTGCGATCTACCAGGAAGCAACAGAGCCCAGGGGGCCCTGCCAGAGCCTGTCTGAACGTTCAGCCTCCAAAACTGTGAGCTAAAAAATCCTCAACTTCATAGTCACCTGCCTCCGGATTGAATTCTAGTAAGGAAAAGCTGACTAAGACAATGAGCAAGATCACTCCAGTTGCAGCGTGGAGGAGGGGCTGGAATGGGGCAAGGTGGGAGGGAGGATGCTACCAGGAGGTGGTAGCAGCAACCTGGACATCCTGGAACAGCTATGCAGAGACAGGATGCTGACTTGTGGATGGACTCGGCCACTCAGAAGACACATGAGGTCAGGGAGAAGTGAAAAGACAGTGAAACAGACAGGTTTCCTGAAGAGAGCAAGTGTTTGCGTGTGTGTGGTGGGGGTACTGAGGAAGGGAGGCTCGGAGAAATGTGCTTGGCGGTAAAACGATGGGAAGAACCACCTGCAAGAGCGAGCAGGTACGCTCTCAGGACTAAACTAAATCTTTACAAGTAGATGCTAAAGGGAGACAAATCTTAGCTTGCAAAGAGAACTTTGTAAGCTGTAGTAAAACAAAAATGGGGGCTGCACTGGCCAATAAAGTGCCTCCTTCCCCAGGGATGTACAGAAAGGCCAGGCGCCCATCAGATAAGGAATGGGGCACCAAGTGTCAAAGGCAGGGGGATTATTGGGTGTTTCTCCTACTCTGCACCCAGGCAGAGGGTCTGATGAAACCCAAGCCAGCTTGCCACGCTGTTGCAAAGCCCTCCACCAGGCTCCTGTGCAGGAGGGGAAAGGCCAATCCTCCTGTCTACAGCCTATCTCTTGTCCCTCCTGCCCCAACGCAGCAGCCCTCCCTCAGCTCCAGCCCAATTGGTTCCTTATGCACACGCCAGGCTCCCTCTCTACTGCAGGGCCAAGTCTCATGCTCATACCTCATCCCTCAGGTCTAGACAGAAACATCACTTTCCCCAGGGACCCTTCCCTGAGTCGCCATTCCAAATCTAAGCACATGCCTGTCTGGTGCTATTTCTCTTGGCATCCAGCCTGTTCTCTTCCCTTCACCAGACTAACCACAAAGTGTAGCTGCTGTGTACCTGTTTTTTTCTGCCTGTACACCGATTCAATGGTGAACTTCAGGGGATAATGGCCATATTGGACAGCACCTCATGAGCAAGAAGTACTCAATACCTGTTGATTAGTCATGAACCTGGGGCACAGAACATGGTGAGCCTACAATGGCATATTAAAATCAGCTGTTGGTCTTTTTCAAATAACATTCCTCTCATAACAGGAAATACTACTAAAGCAAACAATAAATCCTTTTTGGGAGGCCCTCACAGTCCTAAATGAAGATAACCACAAACAGTTAAGTACCATTAAATTATCAGGTGGTCTCTGAACTTCTATCCAATGCAATGACCTTATAACAACCTGAATTCACAAGGTAATTTTTGAATGTCCAAGCTAATTCCCACATGTTGTTTCAATGAATGTGGGAAACCTAAAAAGTTATCCTGCTTCTTCATCTTACTGTCTTTTCAATTCCGTTTTGCTTTTTTACCTAAAACATCAGGCAAAGCCCTTGCTTTTCCTCAAACTTGCACTCAGTCTGGAATGGACAATACCTCTTCCGAAACACTCTGCCCTCCTGGAGGTGGGTGTGGGCCTCCACCCCTGTGCCGCCCCTCTTTGAGGCCCTGGCTCATGTGCCTGACCAGCACAGAGAGAAGCTGCAAACCTCTGATGCAGAGCTCTAAAGCCCTGTCTGCTCCCCATGAGCAGATGCTCCACGGTGAGTACCAAGGCTGACCACTCACGGAGGGGATGAACTGTGTGAGCTGTGTTTCACAGCAGAAAAGCTGGCTGGTAGACACCCTACCACCATGACAAAGCAATCAGGGAAGTGACTCTGGTGGGAGGGGCAGGAAAGTAAAGGCACACATAGGAGACTTTAAATTACTGCAGGGAAGCCCCGAGTGCGAGAGATGGGGAGGTAGAGGCAGCAAAGGGGAAGGAGGAACCTGAACCGCATCTCAGCCCGGAAGAGGCAGCTCCCGGCCTGGTTGAAGCCCTTAGCCCAGGAAAACCTCAGCAGGGATGGGAAGGGGTTATGGCTCAGTGCCAGCTCTTTGGTCACCAGTGTGAATCCACAATCGTGAGGCACACTCCCCATCGCAGGGCCACCCTGCAGGACAACGACATGATGCTGAGTGGCTAGGCATAACGAAGTCCATCCGAAACAAAGCTGGCCACTCCAAGGATAGCTGGGCAGTGGGTTCTCAGGCTCATGAGGGCACTTTCACGACGCGCAAGTCTTTAGTACCCATCCCTGTACAGGGCAATGTTCGTATGAATTAACGAAAATTATCTTCCTGTAACAACAGCTTCAAGCTCCTGTGCAAGCAAAGATCCTACTAATGGGTGACAGGGCCGGTCAGTCTACGTTTCATCCCTGGACTCATTCATTCTCTGTCCCTCTCTGGAGAACACGCCAGTGTACAATGACACTGCCGAAAGATGCACGAGCAAGAAAAAATTAGTACTATATGACTGACAAACCAGATCATGGAGGCATGAAAGAGGCACAGAATTTTCTGTTTAATTTGGAGGCTGATAGAAAGCCACTCCACAGACCAGAATTAAGAGTTGAACTTGTCTAATTTCATCTTTCTCTGTGAAGTCCTTTCTCTCCGTCCAATATGTAGCTACGGTTACCTAATTGGTCAAACTTCTTTTTAGCCACACACGCGTTGTTCATCCCACAGGCCGCTTTCCCACCCCACCCGATTCTGGAACATGACCATGCTGGGCCACACCATTCCTGCTGGCTCTCACCTATTGCTTGGAAGTGAATCCAAGGCTGCTGGGCTGGTGTGTTGAGAGGGTCCAGCCCGGGTATTCACCTATAAGGGAAGAAAGAATCTCAATCAGTCTTGTGTTCTGAGGACACGGTTCTAATTAACCTATAATTTGCCACATATTTCTCATTTCACTATGAAGGTTAATTAGCTTGTTGCTAGACAGGCCCTCGGTTGGAGTATATAGGTTACAGATCTGTATTATCTGTATATTACATAATCCTGTAGCCCTGCCATTATTCAAATACTTAAGCAATGCTGAAAAGGTGAGATAAACTGAGAAGAAGAAACTCACTATGTAGAGCACAGATTCAGACAATAAGCTCAAAAAAATACACTGAGAACATACTCAGGGTTTAGTAGTGAGTTTCATGGTATCATGTCCTCCCAGCTCTACAACCAAATAGAACACTGTAGACTGTTTCTTATTCCCTAAAAAAATGAGGTCTGAGTAGCTCATCATAAAATATTTGAGCCTAATAAAATAGCCAGTTTTTCTTCAGGTATGAAGCTTTAAGCAGAAATCCAGAATTCAAAATACACAGGACAATGAAAAGACATTAACTAGATATATATTTCTAGCATAAATTTGTCAAAAGAAGAGGGGGGCACTCTGTGTGCAATATGCTTAATCATTAATTAATCACTGAAATGAAGACTGTAATTTCACGTGAATAAATCTTTCAGGAGACCAGTTATCTAAGACCATCCTGAAGAAACTGACCAACCAAACAATTCCAAATAATTAAAACTACAGCACTAAACCCAGTATCCAACTATATCCACATATTGGGCAAATGCTACAAGCAAATCCCCCTCCACCTCCCATTAAAAAAAAAAAAAAAAAGATGGCTTGTCAGAGCTTGAGAAAGTGCAGTTTTATTTGACATTTCAATAAGTGGAACACAGCATTACAAATCCATCTAACTTTACTGAAACAATTATTGAAATTCGTACCTTCAGGCCATGTATGTTCCGTTCCCCAGGAGGCTTGCAGGCTGAAACAGTAATTGACTAAATTGTAAAACACATCAGGGTCATTTACAAATTTGCTCAAAATGAATCGTTTAAAAAGAAATGAGGGTGACACCAAAATTAGCAGAGAGAAATGATTGAAAAGTGGCTCCCCAGACCCAAAGTGGGAATTATGAACCAGGGTTTATAACTTGCAGGAGTGAGCATTTATAAATGCAAAGAGCTTTCTGACACCACTTCATATAAATTCCAATTTCTGCTTAAAACATATAAAAATCAAGTTAACTGGGCTAGAATGATTACATTCCTTTCATAATTCAAATTTCTGCAGTTTTCCTCAGTCTATTACATTGTATATCTGCTCCCAGTTAAACTACTTTGGGAAGAGCTAAGGTTTTTGGGGTTTTGTTTGCTTTGGAGGAGGCTTGGGGAAAAAGATCTTTTAATGCTAAAAGGAGTGACAGAGACTCTAGAATACTTAAGTTTGAATACTAGTTTGTATAGCCATAAACAACTGAATTTATTGAATTACAAATATATAACAAATTTTATGACACTTATTGCAAATCTTGACATCTGCAACATTTAAGTCTAAAGATAAAGCACTGCCAGGAAAATACAACAATAATTTCTCAGCACCATCCTGAGTTGCGGGTTAGTACTTTTCCAATTCAGCAAATGCTTCTTCATCAAATGTTAAAAATACAAAAGCTTTCTACCCATGTTATAGACTACTTCCATTTGAAAACTACCATGCCCTACAAATTGTATGTTAAGGGGCTGTCAAGTTTGATTGATTGTTTAGGGAAGGATGAATTTGATTTTTTTTCTCCCTCAGATGTACATGTATTTTCCTATATTTCTGACAAGAAATAGTGCTCTTTAATAATAAGATGTGAGTAATAATTACAAAGCACGAATTGCTTTCATTTTGTATATTTCAAGTAAATTCAAATTTGTTCTTATTTTCCTGGAAAATATATCTAAATCTTAATAAAGGGCTTTTACTTATCTTTCTAAAGTACATTAAAATTAAGGCTCCAAATCTTCCTTAACATGGAAATTAACCATTTTTTTTAAGTACTGGGGATTGAACTTGGGTCCTTGCACTTATGAGGCAGGCACCGGAACCACTGAGCTAAATCCCCAGCCCTAATCTTTTTTTTTTATTCTTACCTGGTACTGGCAAATAAACTTCATTCAAGGATAGTGCTCTCTCAGTTATATCTCTAGCCTTTTTAAATTTATTGAATTGTGATCCTCCTGCCTCAGCCTCTCAAGTAGCTGAGATTATAGGTGTGTGCCACCATAAACAGTGGAAATTAACTTTTTGAACAAAAGTCTCATCTATTTAGTGCATGATTCTTGAGGGACCCAGTACTTCCAAGACTACACCTTAAAATCTTTCTACCAAAGTATCCAGGACTCTCAAGGAATGTAGAGATAAGCATCAACTCTTATTTTTAATTTTAACATCTGCTTTGCTTTTCAAGTCTTTAAACTAGAAATCGAAACAGCATTCCAGAAAACCCAAGAACCTCATATATCTTAAAGTCATGGAGCCAGAAGTTACTATAAGGCCAGTGAATTTTCATCTTCTCAATATTTAACACATCTTTAACTACTGGCCATAAGCTGAGAACTACTTTATCAGGTAGCTGTACTACTTGGAAAGGGGAAAACATGTTACTAGAACAGACTCAATTCTCCTTTGCATCTGACTTGTTCAGTCTAATGATTCTTTTTAACATGGGCCTGACTCAGACTCTAACGTCTGAGGGCCTCTCACAAAAGGCAAACCCAGGTAATTATGCCCAATGTGTATATATCCAAATTGTGCACCTTTCACAACTCACTTAGCTACATATGACAGATGCAGAGAGGTCACAAAAAGCAAAAGAGCAAAAACCAGAAGAGTTAAATCATAGCACACAAAACCCCACTGAGATGGGGAGACCAAGTTTCAAGCTACTCTCATGCTTGCTGCAGTGGCATTTTAATTTATATGCCTTTCCACTTTAAGCAAATTATGAGTTAGATAAAATTCTTACTCAAAGGGAATATCAATCACTTATATGCTGTGTGACCCTGAAGTGACTTAACCTCTCCGAGCCTCAACAGTCTCATCCACATAACAGAGGGAATAATACCCAATTCAACCTAGGTGGCGATGCTAAAGAGACAGAAAAATGGCACAAGGAGCGGTATTAGTGCCTCGACAGAGCCACGTCTAAAAGTGGCTGCCATTACCACGGGAGGGGCACAGTGGTGTATGGCAACACTGACAGGACTGAGCACAAGATGAAAGCAGACAAACCAAACGTGAGGACGTCTCAGATAAAGAGAAAAACAAAGAAAAGAAAAAAACACAGCCCAACAGTACTGGAACAATGATTCTCTGGGATGCTGTACTTGAGTTTGCTACCCACAGCCATGAAGGAATTAATGGAAATTTTCAGCTTGTAAAAAACTATTCCTTATGGAGAAACGATTTTTGAAACTTGCCCCAAATCCTCATTTACTGAGAACATTAAGAAAAGAAAACCTTCATTAAAAAAAAAATTAATTAAAAAAAAAGAAAAAAACCTTCATCCTCGTTAGTGTCCTAATACACAGAAATGGCAACATTTCTCTCTTGCTCATTCTTTTTCCTATTTTGATGTTTAATCTTCAAGTACAACAGAATTGGATGAATTGTAATCAATGTTTTAGATGATAATTGGCCTTAGGTGACCCAATTTCATTCCCTTCCTTAGCATTTTAACAGGTTATTAATAACGTGATAAGCACTCCTGACTCTGCCACCTACGCAGAATAGCAGGACTGCTCGAACCCAGAGCTGCTCATGGGTTGTCCAAGCCAGCTGTCTTTGGAGACTTCATCACTGCAGATAGGAGCCTACTGGTTAATTGAGCCATTCAAACTTCAGAGAGTTACAGGTAATGAAAGTCGAGTGTTTAATTGGAAAACTCATACCATGATTATTTGTACAGTATTAGTTAACGAAGGTAAGTTTAACTTTTAATTATTTCAATTAAGTTATTTCTAGAAGAGTTACTTAGAGAATTTCCTTATCTGTTCCAGTAGTTGGAAATATAGATTCCAAGTGGGGCAATGTATAACGGGTAGAAGACTTAATCTTAACAGTTTATATAATTAAACTGTTCTTTTTCACCATTATTCAAACTTTGAAGGAACATTTATATATAGGTGAACGATCATATTTGATACAAGGCAAGCACTGCCAAACTTAAGGGAGAAGAAAATTATCTCACAGGTGAGTCACTGAGATCACCCTCATCAGCTCCTGTTTTTAGAGACTTCACAATCAAATTTCTAGTTAAGATTTTTCCATTACTTAGAAAATACCTCCCGCCTCAAAACTGAACACCCAGCATTCTACCCCAGTTTCTTTCCTAAACCCCTTGTACGATGGAGCTTACGTACTGGCCAGAAGCTTTCTCCTTGACAGCAGCTTTGGCCACAGTCATGAGCCACAGTTTATAAATATCCGGAATTAAAGCCATTCATTTGTCTTGGTTTAGAAACCATGGGGACCCCAAAAGATTTCTTTAAACGGATGTAAGTATGTACTTCAAAAACAAAAACCAATCTAGTTAGTTTAATTTACTCTAGTAAATTAGATATTTTATCTGTTATAACTATAATATAGCCTACAATCCCCATGATAATGAATACTTCTTTTTTTTTTCAAATTAAGAGCTAAACATCATGTTATGTGCATTTAAACCTTTGGAAAACATAACTGTTGATGAAACACTTTACTGAAATAATCATTGTTGATTAGAATTTGTTCAACATTACCTCTTGGAAATATCTGCAGAGGCTCTATTAACTGTCCATTTACTTGCTGTTCCATTACTGTGGAATAATACTGCAAAGAGATTATAGAAAGAGATTACTCAGTAATGTATGAATACTGAAACAGACACTTATGGGTTATTTAATTCATCGCACTTTTGTAAATTGCTGGTGTGCATATATCAGCCTTGAGAATACTTTTCCCCTCCTGACACATCAAAATGACTACAGTGAGTATATTCAGGATTGGAAGTCTGGTATAGTGTTATCCTTAGCTTTAAGAATAAAAATACTGATTAACATCACATATTTGTATTCAAGAAATATTTTAAATAGCACGTATTTAAAATGCCACAAAAGCTATTTTAGTGGAAAGTGCTCAAACTGCCTCTTATCCTGTTGCTCTGGGTTTTACAAAGCCAAATGAAGAAGCTTCACTTCTGGTTTAGAACTACATACCAGTTAATGAAACATCACGCACATCTGTGCAAAAAACACAAAGAGCAGAAATCTAAGTCACAGAGACTGTGAAAGCAGCAACCAAAACATGACTCATCCAATAATGATGCCATTATTAAGATAAAAAAGCAGCCTCCTTTCAAGCAAACGCACCTCTTACACTTTAGCCTTATAAACACTTCAGAATGGATCAAATTGCACTGTAAAGTTCTGGGCACAGAAAATAAAGTTCTTAGTAAAAAAGTTTTCACTCTTCTTCACAGGCACAAATCATGAAGTAGGTAGGTCGTATCATGGTCTGATGGCCATTTTCCTTAATATTGGAATTGGTGATCACAGGCCCACCTAATCTGGAGACGGCTTCTGGACTTCTTCTTTCAATGCTAGGCAAACAACAGAATGCTCTTGGTGGAAAAATAACCACAAAAGCTACTGATTTTGTATTTTGAAGGGTTGTCAAAGTGCAGGACTCCTAGCCAGGCACTGTGGCTCATCCCTAGAATCCCAGCACACTGGGAGGCTGAGGCAGAGGGATCACAAATTCAAGTCCAAACTGGGCAACTTGGTGACTTAGTGAGATGGTATCTCAAAATTTAAGAAGATATTTTAAAAGGTCTGGGGATTGTAGCATAGTGCAAAGGCCCTGGGTTTAATCCCTTGTACCACGGGGGTGGGGTGGGGTGCGGTGGGGTGTAGAACTTCTCTTTCATCTTTGCTGTTTCTATATTAAAAACACATCAATATTCTCTCTCTCTCTCGCTCGCTTTTTTTTTTTTTTTTTTTTTTGGTACCAGTGATTGAACTCTGGTCCTTGTGTTTGTGAGGTAGGCAGCGGAACCACTGAGCACATCCCCAGCCCCAAAACACATCATTATTTACTACCAAATTTTAAGAAAATTCCTCCTTCATTATCATTTTCTATTTTTCTAAAAAAAAGCATCTTTTTAGAAGACACAATTTCCTACTGCTTTACTGTGCATTAAAATTATTAAAAAATCAAAACTGCTTTTCCTTAGAAATGAAAGGCAGCTATAACATTCCACATTATCTTAGGAATCACAAATTATGAAGTCTAAAGCTTTGTGCCCTACTAACAAATAAGGTGAAGGTGAATTTTGGTAGCTATGGAAAGATGCAAGAGTGCCTAGTCTCCAAAGGGTCTCAAACTGCATGGGAAAAAGCCATCCTTTCCCTCTGTGGACCTAACAACTTAGATACATATGGGAAACAAACACTGTGAAGAACACACCGAGGCAACATCTTTCAGGAGGCCAGGTGCCTTGAAACCACAGAAACACAGCAGTCGCCATTACTCACACAGTGATGACAAGTAAATGAAATATCAATCATGTAGGCTGCCAACCTTTTGGGACAGCAATAACTGTTAACAAGTAGTCTGGAAAAATTGTCCGAAAATGACTTGTCCTCAGCACACAAGTATTTGAGGTTTCCGTGGAAAATTAAGATGCCAGTGGCTATTTGGGACATTGCTCAGGTATTCTTTTTAATGGGAAATTTGCCGGTTATTGATCCACAGCATGTACCCCTTGCTTCTGGAAGGCTGCAAGCAACTTTCCAATCAGTGGCTGTCAAAAAAATTACTGCCTTTTTATACTGATACTAGACAACAACAGTGGTGGTGTTCTCTTATAGTTAATACTTTTCTTTAATTAACTGCTATGTACAATAGGTTAGTAGTTCAGTTACTACTAGAAATCAAAACAAATAAAATATCCTTATGCTTCATCTAACAAATTAAGTACAGACAGAGTTGTCTGAAACTGGTGCATGGGTTCAAGTTTGAAAACAAATAACCTCAAATGTAAAGGGTCAGAAGAGGTGCAATGTATTTTTTTTTCCTACTATAAAACCTTGCATGCATGAAATTGACCTGTTTTCAAGCTTTATTTATTTACCTTACAAAATAAATAAATAAAAATAGTTTCCCTTTCATTTTAGGTTTGGGCCCGTCCACTAGCGAACTATATGTATTTTCATAATCACTGTGAGAATTTCTAAGCAATCAATACAGATCTCATTGTACTATGATCAACATAGTCATGGTTAATATGAGATATCACTTAACCAGCTTCTCCAAAGTAGTCAGTTAGGTTTTGCTTTTTGTTTTTCAGAACGCTTCTAAATCCAAGCATATTTTTCTCCTGCTGACGTACTCTGTTTGATCTGTGTTTATGTTAAGAGAGAACCTTGTGTTCCAGAGCAAAGTAATTCAACATTAAGGCCACATCATAAGTGTAGTAACCAAACCCACAATGTGGGATCACTGCACCCCTCTGCCCTCTGAGGACCTCTGAGAACCACAGACTGCTGATGGCCAGGTGGCCACCAAGCCAGGTCACGGTTCCTGTAGCGTTCCAAATGAGACAAGGACAAAAACCTGGGGCATATGTGGTAACCTCCTGGCACAAAGCAGTCCTGCAGGCCACTAGGCCTGTGCTGTTCAGTAAAATGAGCAAGGAACTTGGAGTGTCCTCACTAACTCCCCTAGCAATGACCCGACGAGGCCATGCTTCTGTGCCTCACTTTGCCCACTGTACAAGAGACTGGGGTCTGCCCAGAGGACAGCTATAAGACTCATCAGGAAACAGATAAGACAACAATTCATAAACTGCAGGGCAAGCTGTTTTCAGATCTTGGTCCTCTCTCAGTCTTTAATATATTTTTCCTCTAAATGGATTCTCTCCTATTCGATTCAAAATGCAGTGGTACCTCAGTGGGCACTGTTAGTTGGTTCTGGGAGGCAGGTACCAAAAACAATGGATACCAAACAAACTGTTTCGTCTGGAAAGGGTAGTGAGTCTTGAGGCAATAGACACTGTCAAGTTTCAGCTTGCATGTCAGATACCATGCAAACAATGAGTCGTGGAACAAAATTTTCTCATTAAAATGGGAAGTATCAGGGCCAGGGATTTAGCTCACTGGTACCACGCCTGCCTCGAAAGTACAAGGTCCTGAGTTTGATCCCCAGTACAGGGGGAGAAAAATGGGAAGTACCCAATCTGATGAGTTTCAGAACAGTGGAGTACCAAGGTATAACTATAATAATAAAGTAATCAGTAATGACAAAGACCAGGCTGCTAGCCAAAAATAAATAAACAAACTAACAACAACAAAACCTCTAAACTTTATATATCAAAATACTTAACATGGTTTGGACAGAAAAGTACCCAGTCACCATCAGCAGTAATGGGGTCGTAACTTTCAGTCACTCAAACAACTCCTTATCTTAATCTTTATAATCCTGCCTTGGTCTTTATTTCCCATAACACAAAACTCTACACATAGTAGATGTTTGATGAGTATTTATTGACTGAAATGTGGATGAATCTTGACTCTGCCACTCATTAACTCACATAGCCTTCAGGAAGTTATTTAACCTTATCGAGCACTAGTTTCCCCCAAATGTGAGTAAGATCATCTAGCCCCTTACATAGGGTCACCGTGAGGCTCAAAAACTAAACTGCAGCAATAGAACTAGTGAAGGCACTTGGTAAACTATCATTCAGTATGAGTTGAGAAAGTTTAAAAAATCTTTAATACTGAAACAATATTAAGCACAATACTTTCTCTCTTAGCAGTGCTCAAGCATTTAAAAACACAGAAACATTTATGTATGTAAAGCACAAAACACGGAGCTCAAATTGAATACAGAAGCAGCAGTTACACATTTTCTGCTACCATCCATTGCATAATCCGTTACATGCAGTAATTGAGCAATAATCAATAAGCTAACTGGGTAAAAGATTAATCAGTTTTACAATTGCTAATGGAATCTCTAGCACCAGACTTAGATTAGTTTCAGAGTCCCTCCGAGATATTCTTCAAAATCCTTAAACAATTTTAATAAGGATGTGACAAAGTTTAGCATAGTTATCCAAAATCTAATTAATTTGAAAGAGAACGCCACATTCAACAAGGGGATAACAAGTGCAATTTTTGGCTTTGTTTGCAAGTTTATCCAAACAGTGTTCCTTTTTGTTATGAACCTAATTCTAACAGCACAATCAATCAATAATTAAATTTGTTTTTCTTCGTGGAAATCTGCCATATAAAAAAACTTGGGTTTCAAAACAACACGGTTTAACTCCATAAGGCACAAGTTCTCTAATAAGAAAGAGGGCTAAGGATGTAGCTCAGTGTAGTACTTGCCTAGTGTGTGTGAGGCCCTGGGTTCTGTCCCCTGTACTGCAAGCAAAGAGGCAGAGAAGCAAGTCTTACTCCCTGAGGGCCTGTGTATTAGGCTCAGGACGACACATCCACCTATGTTCATTTAATTTTTCACACTCCTGCTCTGGAAAAATCATCACCTCTATTTAACAGAGAAGGCAAATGGTTTATCAATGAGCAAAGAAAACTACTTCCTACTCTAACTTCTGCACTCAAGCCTAAGTGTGTGTTTACTATTCAAAAGTTAACAGGTAAGTGACCTCACAGACCTCATTCCTCAAACATTTAACTACACAACAGTTTGCTGGCTAGACTGCTGGGCTGGTAGAGAGCTCCGGCTGCATGACTGCCCTGGGTGAATTCAGTCATATGCTCTGGATGGTGAAGCAGCAGGAAGCCACAGTGCTGTGGGTGACCTCTTGCTCT